TAATATTTTACATCATAAGTGTCTAAAATGTTCTAGGAAGTCGATTGGCGTCTAGAAAACTACAAAATTCGCAACAGTTTAGAAGTTATAGTCCATTATATTACATTTTTGATATTTTTGACATTATCAGAAATTTTCTCGATAACCATTTATCGTAAAATAATAATCTTTTTTTTTAATGATAGAAAATTTAAAGTGTTTTCCAACGATACTAAACATAAAGAAGTAGCTGGAATGATTCCGGAGTTATTGTCATTAGACTGCTCCGGGTACCAAAAATCGACAAAAATTATTTTAAAAAACTAAACTAAAATTAAGACAATTGGATTATTTTTGAAATGAATAAAATCCTCACAAAAATGTGACTTTTTCTCGTTTTTGTAATGGTAAAAGTGAAAAAAATCCAAAAAATGTGAAAGGATTTTATAAATTTAAAATTTAAAAATCTTGCGTGAGAACTGCAGCTCAGAAAAATTTTTCGTCAAAAAATCTCAAAACTAGAAACTTTAAGCTTCAAAATGTTTTTTTTTTTCATCTAAATACGACCATTTTTCACTGAGATACATTCTTGCAAAAATCACCAAAAAACTTGGAATTTTTTTGAATCGCGAATTTTTTTTCAACATTTCAAACCGCTGTGATAATTGGAAATTTTAATTTAATTTGAAAAAATGGTCCGTCTTTTTTTTCGCCTTCTAGACGTAAAATCACACGCTAAACACAGTGCAATAGGTTAAAATACTCTACAATGAGTGGTTTTTGAGATAGTGAAAAATAAAATTATATATTTTTTATTTCTTGTCAATTTCAGCTAAACGATTTCCAAAATGATTAATATTTTACACCATAAGTGTGTAAAATGTTCTAGGAAGTTAATTGGCGTCAAGAAAACTACAAAATTCGCAACAGGTTAGAAGTTATAATTAAGTATATAACATTTTTGATATTTTTGACTTTAGCGGCAATTTTCTTAATAACTATTTATCCTAAAACAATGATCTGTTTTTTAAATGATAGAAAATTTAAAGTGTTTTCCAACGGTACTAAAAATCGACCAAAATTTCAACAAAAATAATTTTATTTGGGGCTTGTTGGAGGATCACAGGCAGCTCGTAATGGTGGAAAAAGTACAGCATTGAGTGCTGAAATGACAATTTTTTGACACTTAATTTATTTTTTTTTGACATTTATTTTGATTAAATCAAGGCGTTTTAGTTTAAATTGTGTCGTTAATGCAATGAGCTTTGTTGGTTTTGGATGATGAGGGTCGTTAAGTAAACTATTAAACTATTTCGTGTGGTGACATTGGACACCTATTTGATTCGATTTCGAGAGGAGAGATAATCGGATCAAAGCTGCTCACTTTATTTCGTTTTTTGTTTTAATTAAAACTAAAATTAAGACAATTTGATTATTTTTAGGCAATACGGGTACCCGGAGCGACGCGAAATCAATAAAAACGTCACAAAAATGCAAATTTTTCGGGTCTGTGAAAAAAAATCCAAACAAATGTAAAAGGCTTTTATAGGAGATTTAATTCAATTTTTGATTTTTAATAAAAAAAAGCAAATTAAAGCTAAATAAACAATTAGACCAAAAAAAAAATCTTGCGTGAGAACTGCAGCTCAGAAAAAATTTTCGTCAAAAAAAACACAGTGCAATAGGTTAAATAGAATGCTCTACGATGAGTAGTTTTTGAGATAGTGAAAAATAAAACTAAGAATTTTGTTTTTTTATTTATTGTCAATTTCAGCTAAACGATTTCCAAAATGATTACTATTTTACACCACAAGTGTGTAAAATGTTCTAGGAAGTCAATTAGCGTCAAAAAAACTACAAAATTGGCAACAGTTTAGAAGTTATAGCCGATTATATTTTTGACTTTATCAGAAATTTTCTCGATATCTGTTTATCGTAAAATAATGATCTTTTTTTTAAATGATAGAAAATTCAAAGTGTTTTCCAACGGTACTAAACATAAAGGGGTAGGTGCAATGATTCCGAAATTATTGGCATTAGACTGCTCCGGGTACCAAAAATCGATCAAAATTTCGAGAAATTTTTTTTAACTAAAATTAAGACAATACGGGTACCCGGAGCGACTCGAAATCAATAAAACCCTCATAAAAATGCAAATTCTTCTGTTTTTTATTTCTCTTTTCTTTAAAACAATGTTAAAAGTGAAAAAAAGAGATATTCTCTTTACGTCAATTTGTGGCTGAGAAATCTGACTTAAAAAAAGCAAATTAAAGAAAAAAAA